CCCTTCCTCTCTGAAATCTATCATAATATCTATCATCTATCTATCAGGCTAATATGCAAACTGTCCCCTTGGGAGTTTGACCAGGAGACAGGGAGTTCAATCGCTCGCTAAGATGTGCGCTGACCACCAGGGGACAGTACGAAACGAAGGAAGGCCAGCAGAAGAAGGCCCTACCCGTGCATAAATTTTGTGCACTGGGCCTCTAGTAAAAATATATTTTAAAAAAAGAAAGAGAAGTGCATGTTTCACAGAGCTACCCTAACCTTTTCCTTCCCTCTGTCTTCCCTCTTTCCCGCCCTTCCTTCCATCAACAAATACTTAATGCGCATGAACGATGTACCACTACATGCCAACCAGCGTTCTAAGCGTAGGGGAGATAGCAGTAACCAAAACATATCAGAACCCCTGCCCTCAAAGGAGCTGACATTCCAGTGGCAGAAACTGATATGAAAAGCCATGGTTATCAGACAAACAGAATGACGACTAATAATTCGACTCTTTGAGCTCCTTACACAGAGCCAGGTCTCCGCCCCCTTCCATCACAGTTTATGTAAACTGCACTTATAAATAACGGTTCCTTAGACACACTGAGTGTTAGATGTGGACACCTGTCAGTGGGGAGCAGATGCACCCCTTGGCAGCTGCCTGACCTCTGCAGGCATCCGTCTCTCTCTGCGATGGGGAAATGGCCACACCTTCCTCACAGGCTCTTAGGGAGTGTTCAGAGACCGTGTGTCAGCACAGTGCCTGTTGCATGGTAACATCCATCCTGTCCATCATCCCGGCCTCTTTTCCTGCTTAGAACAGGCATGAGGGTCTAAGCTGCTACCCTCACCAGCTCCCGGGCCCCCCCTGCAGCTGCAGACAGACAAGAGGCTTCTGAGCTGGCCCAGGGTCTCAAGGGCAATGGGTATGCCGTCAAGAACAGACACCAGCAGAGGTTGAGGCCCTGCACACCAACCGCCCAACCCTCCCTCCAGTCCACGCAGCAGAGACTGGAAGAGGCAGCCACCCGACTGCAGGACAGGCAATTGTCCTTGATGGACCTCAGCTGTGGCTGAGAGGCCTGCCTGGGGCCAGCAATCCCGTGTGTGTGTGTGCCCTGGCAGGCCCTTCAGGAGTCCCCCTCTCCCAGCAGCCAGCAGCAGCACCCGTGAGAGCGGGCCCCCCCCGGGGACAGGACCAGTTTCCAGGCCCTGGATTTTGCATGTTTTATTTCATCCTACTTTCCCCAGCAATGCTGCAAGTTAAGAGCTGTCGTGCTCCATTTTACAGCTGAGGAAACTGAGGCTGAGAGGAGTTAAGAATTTGCTAAAGTCACTCTCCTAATATGTGACAGAACCAGCATTTCAGTTCAGGCTATCAAACCCCAGAGCCAGGGTCTTACACTGAAGGATACACTTTTTCCTTTCTGTCATCCACCCACCACTCAAATCCCGCATCAAATACAGGGCAGAGTTCTCCCTGGGGCCTCTGGGAGTCACAGGGACACACGGCACTTTGCCAGCTTACCTGAGTGCTGGCTTATGCAGTGTTAGGAGGAGACCATGCCCAAAAGCAGAGCCACAATGGAGACTATGCCCAAGGAACTGGAAGCCCAAAATAGCGCAGTCAGGTCATCTCTTAGAGGTCATTCTCCCTTTACAGAGAGGGAAGTGGAGGCCCAGACGGAGAAGTGGGCTCCCTGCATACAGAACTTCTGACCTCCCTGCAGACTTCCCAGTGGCCTCAGAAGCCCTGCCCTGGTGCCCACACACTGGCAGGGAAAGTGGACTGGAACCCAGCCCCGCCACTCACCCGCTGTGGGACTCGGCAGTGGAGAGCCTCACTGAGCCTCCGAGTGCGGCCTGCGGGTGTGGGTGTGCGGCAGCTAATGTGTGTGAGATGCCACACAGCAGCTGGCACCTGCTATGTACTCGGTGCAATGGTGCTATTATTATCACGCTTGTTGTTTTCGAGGTTCAGCGAATGTTAGGCAACACTGTCTCTTCGGTGTCGCTTTGATTCCATGGTTCTCATGGAATCCATTCCTAGGAAGGCAGAGGAAACAGTGCTCACCATCATCTCTGAACAGGGGAATCCGTATGAGGGGTGCCGGGGCTCAGCTCTGTGCCTATTTGGGGTTAGACTCTGGAAGAAAGACCATGGGCTGCAGCCGAGGCAGCAGCTGCCAGTGCCCATCTCTTTCAGTGGCTTGAGGAGAGATGGGCCCATCACTCAACCTCCGTGTCAAATTTCCGTGGTCAAGAGAGCATGGTAGTTACCTGCCTTCTTACCCTGAGCCCCAGGAGAGTGGATTGTGTCCATCTAAGGAAGGCTTGGCTGTGAAGTCTAACCCCGTCCAGAGAGGCCACGGCTCCTGTGGGGTTGTCTGGTGAGAGTTGGGGGAGAATGGGGAAGGCTTCTCTTTGGGACAGAGCTACCAGGGAGTGACAATTTGGTGCAGATGTGTAGCATCCTCACCGCTGAGCCCTGGGGAATAAGGGGTGAGACGTGTAGAAATTCCAAATTTTGTCAAATTCCAGCTCCTCCTTCCCTCCCTCTCCTCAGAGAGCCCCCCTTCTGGTGCCATCAGACACCCCACCAGCCTGATTCCAGTTTGGTATGGCCCAGCTTCACCCCCATGCCTGGGGATGAGTTTGGAGCCTTTCACTAGGCCAGTGGTTCTCAGCCTTTCTAATGCCGCGACCCTTTAATACAGTTGCTCATGTTGTGGTGACCCCCAACCAAAGAATTATTTTTGTTGCTACTTCATAACTGTGATTTTGCTACTGTTAATGAATCATAATGTAAATACCTGTGTATTCCCATGGCCTTAGGCTCTATGCATTGGTTCCCAACCTATTGAGAACCGCTAGCAGGGTTGACTTCATTTAGTGACTAGGGGTTAATACGATGAGTTTGGATCCCACATCTTCTCACCTAGTTCTCTCAAGACCAAAAGCGACTGGTTGTGCATAGACCAGGCTGGGATGAGGGGAGTAACCTGGCTGGGAAAGCCTGTGTGAAGTGGGGACGCCCGGAGGGCAGTTCCCTTACACTTCCTTGTCTGGAGATGCCTGTTGGCCTGATTCCGAAGGAGCCAGGGCTCCCTGCCTTCCCACGGAGGGCATGACCTCTGGGTCTGCCCCATGATCCCTGCGTCTATTATTTGCATAGTCAGTCCTGAGTGCTGGAGGAACGGGAAATGAGTGGTGATGATGGGGGTGGCTGGAGTAAGGCATGAGCTGTGACCCCATGGTTTGTGGCTTCATTAAGCACAGGGGTGGGGAACCTTTTTTCTGCCAAGGGCCATTTGGGTATTTATAACATCCTTCACAGGCCATACAGACTTATAAACCTAAAAACTGGCCTGCTAGATTTGGTCAAACATTTAATGAACTCATTCTCTAATGCCTTGGCGGGACCAGACCAAATGATTTCTTGAGCCTTACAGGGTCCACAGGCTGATTGAGAAGGAACCCATGGGGCCTTCAGGTCAGCCACTGCCCAGCAGCACCAGCACAGAGCAAACTCCCTGGCATCCAAGGGCCTCCTGAGTCCAGCCTGGCCCAGCCTGGCCAATCTCAGCTTCCAGCAAGACCTTCCCAGCATCCTGGACCCCAGCGACGCCCTGAACCCATCAAATACTTCCCTCCTCAGAACCTTTTCTCTGGCTACTCATGCAGCCCGTACCCTGCCCTGCCCTCCTTCTTCCCTGCCTCTTAAGAATTTATTCAAAGGTTTATTCACCTTCTGTGACAAGCCCTCCCTAACCTGGCAATACACTGCACCTTCCTCTGTGACCCCCACTTGGTTTGTTCAGTTAGTGTCCGTTCATTTAGTGTCTGCGCTGTGCCTTCCAGCTGTGCTGGCCTCCTGGAACCAATTCAGCCCCCCTGTCTTCTGCGGAGTGAACGTGGTCCACGCGGGATTCTCAGTGCCGCCAGGGCTGGGGCAGAATCTCGGGGATTTTTGTGTCTGTGTCTCTCACCACCGTGTTTTGTACTTTGCCCCAAGTGTCAGATGGAGAGATGGCGGGAGGGCTTCTACCCTGGGCTCTGCCCACTAACTAATTAGTCGCATGGCGCTGGGCGAATCTTCAAGCTTCTTGGCCTCCCTTCTTCCAGAAGGGATGGTGGAGATGATCTCAGGGTGGTCCAGGGGACACTGAGGTAGGATGAAGGGAAGCATCACGAAAACTGGAAGATGTGGGTTGGGGTGGACCCCCATTCGCTGGCTGTGTGGTAGCATCTCGTCTCCTTCCTTCTCTTGGAATGTCAAGTGCACCAGCTTCCCATCTCTCCTGGGGACGCTTGGAATCCTAGGCCGAAGAGGATTCCGGTGCGAACTTCGGGACTTTCCTCCCGCCCAGCCGTCCCTTCGCAAGGACCCGCCGGACACACCTTCAACCCCGCGCTAGAGCGCAATTCCAGCGCAGCTCTGACCGCAGCCCCGCAGCCCCGCAGCCTCGCAGCCCCGCAGCGCGGGCCCGGGCCGGGGTCGCGCATCTCCTGCCGGTGACTCAGGGCCGCCGGGCCCGAGGGTGGATGGAGGTAGGCGGGACCGACCGAGGCCGCGCGGGGGCAGCCGCCGCCGGGCGCTCTATCGCCAAGCGTTGGGAGCCGAGACAGACTCTGGCCCGTCGCCATTCGGCCACGGGCGTCTGCCTCGCGGGGCCTTCCCTCCCCGCCTCGCACCGGGAGCGCGGCTCCGGCGGAGGCAGCGGCCCGGGCGGCCGGAGGGGCCGGAGCGCCGGGCGGGCTCCGCGCGCGAATGAATGGGCGCCCGGAGGGGGGAGCGCGCGTGCGGGGCTGAAGGGCATTAGGACCGTGAGGATCGCTCCGCGCGCCTGTCTCTCTCTATCACCCCCCCACCCCCACCTCTCTCCTTTTTCTGCTCTGCAGGACTGAGCAGCCGGCGCGAGCGAAAAACAAACAGCTGGGGCTGCGAGGGCCCCCCGCCCCGGCCCCTCGAGCTCGCCGGCCCGGGCCCCCACTCGGGGCGCCCTCCCGCCCACCATGAGGAAGCTCCGCGCCAATGCCATCGCCATCCTGACCGTAGCCTGGATCCTGGGCACTTTCTACTACTTATGGCAGGACAACCGAGCCCACGCCGCCGCATCCTCGGGCGGCCGGGGCGCGCCGAAGGCCGGGGGCAGGCCGGAGCCGCTCCGCGAGGACCGCACCATCCCGCTCATTGTGAGTCCGCGCTGCCGCCGGGGCCGCCGGCTGGGAGCCGCGGCGCGCGTCCGAGCCCCGCGCGGCTGCCTGCCGAGGGCGCGGGGCCGGGCCGGGGGCCGTGTGCCCGCCGCGCCCCGCCGGCTTTGTAGACGTTGGAGCATTCCTGCCTGTTGTTATGGCAACCTCCACCGCCGGGCCGGCGGGGCCGGGGCGCGAGGACGGAGGGAGGTGACAGCGGGTGGGGGTTGGGAGAAAGTGCTGCAAGTTTGGTGGGCCCGGCGTGCGCGCGCGGCTGGGAAGACTGGGAACGTGGCGGATCTCCGGACTGCGCTGCGGGGCCGGGGCCGGGGGCTGCCGGTGCCTCTCCCGCCGGGGGAGGCGGCTGTACCTGGCGCTCAGCGAGCCGGCGGTGGGAACCGCGCACGGCTGAGCGCGTAGGTGGCCATGCGCGCCGCGCACCCTCTCCAGCCTCTTGGGGGCCGAGATCGTGGGGTTGGGGGCATCCGATGGTCGGGTCGCCCTGGGCTGCATCCGGCTTGGCTTTGCGTCCCCTTCTTAGCTCGGGTCAGCTGGAACCTGCTTCTTTGGCGCCGAGTACTCTCCACCAACACCCCCGGGTCCTCTGGGTCGGGGAAACGTCTCATCCCGTACGCGCCCCTCACCCCACCCGGACAGGTGGGCGGGCAGTGTGTGCGCCCGGGCTCGGGGATCCCCCTTTCACGAGGTCAGCCTCGAGAGGTCAAGGCGAGCGGGGAAACAAAGGCGGCAGGGACGAGGGCCTCGGCGGCGGCGGCGGAGTTGCGAGGGCCCTGGGCTCTCCGGGGGACCTGCGCTGGGGCGTGCGGGGTCCCCGCTGCCCTGCAGGGGGCGTGCCTGCCGGGGCGCCGGGTGGCGGCTCTGGGGCTGGAGCACCTGTTGAGGCGGCATCCGCGGCGCGCTTCGGCGGGCTTCGCTCTTCCCACCTTCCAATGGGGGCGGGTGGTGGGCGAGAGTCTTGGGCGACCTTGGGGACCCGCTGCTGGGCGCATGCAGCCTGGCCAGACGCGGACCCGGAGGGGGGAAGAGCCAGGAGTGGGGCCGAGGGGAGGGAGTGGAGCAGGGCAGCCATTCCGGCGGCGTGAAGAGAGAGGAGCCTGGGGAGGGAGGTGCAGAGTCTGGAGAGCCAAGGCTTGTGTGGAGAATTCGAGATGTGTGTGCTGAGGCAGCTGAGCCCAAAGAATATGGTTGTGTGTGTGTGTGTGGGGGGGGGGGGGGGTTGTGTGTGTTGGTGTGGAAGTGCTCTCATATTCCCATCCTGTACCAGATTCTGACTTGTTACCCACTGGGAAGAAGTACAAATCCCCTGCAAAGGAACCGTATTTCCTGGCTTTGTCCCTCTCCCCCAATTTCCAGCCCCTTGCCTGGTTGAACTCTCCCAGAGTGAGCCCGATTAGGTGGAATGTCCCCTTCTGGTTCCAAAGCCCTTGTGGATGTTTGGGCAGGAAGGCTGATAAAGAGAAGCCTCCTGTGTTGGGATCTGGGTGGACTGACAGACTGGGGTGGAAGTAGCCAAACCAGCAGAGGCCCCAGGTCCTGAGGGAGCCCCACGCCATGGTCTGCTCCCCTCTATATCCCGAGTCTTAGGGTAGGTGGGCCCAGAGCGGCAGGAGACCAGCAGGCTGGCCAGATGTTCTGGCCTCTGTGTGAGGTGATGGGAGGAGGGTCTGAGCTGGAAGAAGAGAAGGAGGGGAGAGAGGAGGGAAAACGGAAGGGAAGGGAGCACAGGGAAGCTGCTGCTCAGAACCCCAGGCTGTGTCTCATCACATCTACCTCTGCCTCAGAATCCTGACCTTGCTCTTGAACCTCTCCCGGGCTCCTCCCAGGCCCTTGGAGATCAGCCCAGGAGGCTCCTCAGACTGAGAGCCCCAGCATGGTGGAGGGTGTGGAGTGGGGGGTTGGGGGGTAGGGGGTAGGAATGCAGCACTCATTCAGAGGGCTGGCAATTCAAGGTCTTGGCCAGGGGCAGTTCTAGCGAACATCCTCTCTCTCCCCCTGACCTGGTTACCCTTGCTGCAGGTTAGAGAGGGGCCGTGAACTGGAAGCCAGGTTTAAAGTGTGAGGAGCCAGGGCGTGGAGGGGCAGGAAGAGGGGGCGAGTGGAAGTTGCTGGGGAGTGAGTGACAGAGCCTTCTTGGGCCACAGAGGGGCATCGCCTGCTCCCTCCCGTTCGTAAGCTCTAGCCCTGGGTGTCTGTCCCGTAGTCCTTGGGCCCCAGGCACGCACCACCTTTGCCACAGCCCTGCCGTGCGCCCCGTCTTCTGAGGCATCTCACTTCAGTGCTACTCTCCGTCATCCGCCGCGTCTCCTCACTGAATGTGAGCTGTCACGCAGCGACTGTGCAGGAAGCTTCTCGCATCCCCACATGGATGTGCACAGCAAGCCTTCGGTGCTGGTTTGATGAGGGAAGTAAGCTTTCTGCCTGGGAGCAGTCAGGGGTCCTGGCTTCACACCCTTCTCGGGTTTCATTCATCGCAAGCTCCAGCCTGACTTAGCCTAACCGAGGAGAACGAACTGCATGCAGATTCAGCCTTTCCTGGAGCTGAACCCTTTGTTTAACTTCAAAGTGGCAGGTGCAGCTGAGGATTGGCTTTCTCCCTGAACTCTGCGGTTAACCTCTCACTCGCCTTGCCATTCCTTAAACCCGCCGCCCTCCGGCTCTCTTTAGCTGGGCCAGGACGCTGCGTGGGGATTTTTAGATTCTTAGAGGATGAGGTGGCGGGCCCTGCTGACAGAGGATGAGAAAATTCAGACAGGCGTCGTCATCGCCACTCCCCTGGGGAGCCCGCGAGCCGAGCTGGGAAAGGGAGAGTCTGCAGAGCCGCCGGGCCTGGGGGCAGCTCTGTGTTCACAGCGTCTGGGTTATGCCGGTGCCAGCCAAGTTGCTTCTGGACCTGAGAGGCACTTGTTTGGCAACGTGGGGTGTTGGCATGGCAACCATAAGGCCTGGATTTCTCGGAGAGGTCCTGATTTTTAATATTCTGTCCTGCTGTCACTGATTTTTATGGGATAAAATTGATCGTGGGTTTGGTAAAACTAAAGGGAGATGCTGACTGCGTCCCTCCGTGGCTTCTTATGCTGTGGCAGGCTTTGTGACTTCTCCATGCTGCACTTTATGGGCAAGGCAGTGGGCTTGAGGGCATCCACTTGAATCCACACGGATGCACGCTGCCTCAGGACCTGAGAGAAGGCAGCAAAAGCAGGAGGTGAAGCAGGTAGGGCCGCCTTCAGCCTCCAGGTCTCGCAGTCCAGAATAATATTTGTGATGGGTTTGGGGCCCAGGTTTTCCATATAGAAATTCTCTAGCAGGCTGGGGGAGGAGGAGGGGATGCTAAGATGTGACGTGGAATTTCACTTTATAGGCGTATTTTAAGAAGACATATTTTAAAGATAGGTGTACTCACTTGCAACGTTTCCTCTTTGGAACCAGGGGAGTTTTGGGCAAGCGTTTTTCCAAACTGCAGTTTTCTTGTCCCACCATTGGGATACTGCTGAGTGACCCTGGACAAAATACTCACCAACTCTGGGTCGTGGTTACTCTATGCTTTACATGGCTCCTGAGATGTGTTGACCTCTCGGTAAGTGTGTCCAGTTCTAGGGGTGGATACATAGCTTTAAGGGAGTTCTCCCAAAGGTCCTATGAAGCTTCTGGCTGGTAGAGGGACACCCCCTGTCAGGAGAAGGTCCTGCCGTGACCCCACCCCCCCAGGCCTCGCGAGGACCCCTACTTACCTCGCAGGAAAGAATGGCTTTCCGGCACTGTCCTCGGAGAGCAGAGGCTTCAATCAGATCTGCCTGGGTTTATATTTTATTTATAGCGTGCGGATTTCTCAACTGTGGGAATATGATCTGTTTAAATGACAGAAAGCGATTTTACATTAAATTTATCTAGGTGCTGCACACGGGAGAGAGAGTGGGGAGGGAGAAGCACACACACTCCTTTTGCCCGATGTTCAGATCCAAAGGGCCTGGTTTCCCGTCACTGGGGTCCCATCCTGGGTCGTGATGAGACCTGCTCATGGGCCTTCAGGGCAGCACAGAGTCACCAAGGCTGGTAAGGGCCCTGCCGGCCTGAGTGCCCTCCCTGGGAGGCCCCGAGAGCCCAAGGGCACGGGACTGGTTGCTCATTCTGGTCCCTTATTTCTGTGCCTTCACAGGGGTTCCCCTGGCTGCTCCCAGGGCCTTGGGCCTGGCCTTCTTCTCCGGAGGCTGTTTGCTGGCTCCGTGAGGGGAGCTCGGAAGTGCCATTTAGGTCCGTGTGGAGGGGCACCGAGAGGCAAGGCGGGCCGAGCTCCCGGGGGCACTGTCTTGCTGTAATGGAGCAAACCGCCTGGGGTGAGAGGTGAGCCCGGAGCCAAGCAGCTCATTACAGTGAGAAGATTGAAGCTTTATCCCCATCTGCTCCCGGAGACCCGAGACACCTTCCCGCTGAACATCAGGGCAAAGACACAAGGAAACTAAACAGACATCGGCCCAAGGCATCTCAAAACGAGCAGGGAACAGAGCTCTCAGACGAGAGTCGAGGATGGTTACGCCTGAGCAGTAATTCGGTTCACCAAATGGGACACTGTGCTTGAAGCGGATATAGATGGTGTAGACTAGAGCAAGCATGTCAAACTCAAAGGCTAAGATAAACGAGGCATGCGGCCCGTGGGCCGTGCGTTTGACATGCTTGGTGTAGTGCCTGCTCTGGAAACAAGTGGCTTCGTTTCTCTCTAAGAGCTTGTGGTCTCTGCTCTGCAGCCACCCGGCCTCTGTAATCGCTGTGACCTCTGTATTACATTTATGGTGGCTGGTTCATTGGACGCGGTGGTAGGTGCTTTAAAAGCTTTGAGGCCCCTCCACGACTTGTGAGGAAGGGGCCATCTATCCAGCCCCGTTAGCATCTGCGGAAAGTGAGGCTTACAGAGACCCATGAGCTGGCAAGTAGCGCGTGCCTCTGATACCCAGCGTTTCTGCCTCTGAAGGCCATGCGTGTGTCCC